AATGGAACATCAGTATTCTCTCAGGACAAGACCGGAAAATTTAATTTCCTAAGCCATAATTGCCATTAATAAGGTATTACTACCGAGTGCAATATTTATATTGAGGCATGTGGAAATATTGAAAGCTTTTCATTCCTTACATTCTGAAATAGTAAAGGGGAAGTATGGACTTTTTATTTAGTAAAACATACAAAATATGCAGTTCTGTTGTTTTTTGTTGCTGTTTCTTTGCTCGTTTGAGACAGGGTCTCACTCTGTAGCCCAGGCTGGCTTTTAAAATGTGGCGCTCCTGCTTTAGCCTCTTGATTGCTAATGGTACAAGCTTAGCTATGGATTTTACAGCACAAGCAAATCTGTGTAACAAGATCCGAGATCAAGGAACACAACGTTACCAGCACCCAGGAAGACTGCCTTGCACGCTTGTCAGTTTTCAACATCGTTGCAGTTCTATTGGATTTATTATGTGTGCATTACATTCAGCCATCAATCTGAGAATGAGTCTTGGGTCTCCATGTCTACTACACTGTCTCGCTCTGATCCGTTCCAACAGGGCAGGCATGAGCAGCTTCATATCCTCATGTGCTTCAGCCCGCTCTACTCTGCAACAGGTCTCACAGATTCCAGCTCCCAGCGGCCCCACGTTCATCTTCCTGTAGAGGGAAAGGGTAGACTTTTCCCTTGTGTTCTGATGTCCTGTGACTATGCCTGCCTCTGGTGCCCAGAAGCAAGAATATAGAAAGAGAACAAATCGTGCCATATCCCTCCTTCCTCAGAAAGAGGGTGCCTGGGGGCTGTGGCTGGTATAACACCACAACCGCACAAGACCAGCTGCTGGCTAACATGGAGGACAGAGAAAAAAGAAAGGAAAAAAACAAAACAAAACAAAAAAAAACAACTATGGGGTTTCTTTTGTTCTTTCTTTGTCAGTGTTAGACACCTGCTCCTCTTAGCACTCTTACAGCCTACACTGAGTTTATAGTTTGGAGTTTCTGGCTGCCTTGAAATCTGGCTTGTTTGTGAATTCTCAAGACTGGAAGAAAACATGAAACTCAATGCCAGGTAGATTATATTTTAAGTTCTGCAGTTTTTGCCCCCAGTACATAGGTGCCCTTTGACTTAATGATGGAATTCTATTAGATAACTCAACAAAAATTGAAAAGTATCTTCAGTCAAAGATGCACTTAATGTATTCAACCTATAGCCTGGCAGAGTTTAAGAATACAGAGCCCTCGTGGTCACATGGCTGATAGCTGTGGCTCACTGCGCATGCCCTGAGTTGTTTAAGAGTTCAGGAAAATACCCGAATCTGAAGTATGCTTTCTACTGAAAATTTATGTTTTTGCAACATCATAAAACCGGAAACCTTAAAGCAGAATTGTGACAACTAAAAGTGAAGACTAAAAGCTCTAAGCTGAAACTCCACATGTGTGGGACTGTTTGTGCCTGTTGTTTTTTCAGAACGCTCAACGCATTTCAGTTCTCTTCCTATGTCAGAGCAGCTTGCGGCAGCGTGTCAAGTTGTGTCTGATTTCTACTGAAGCACAAAAGATAGTTTTCCGCAGTTCAAGAAAAAAATGCCTATTAAATCTAAGCTATTCTGAAAGAAGGGGCTTTCATTTGAGAACATTTGTTTACAGCAAACATGTTAGCATACTGGTCTTTCATTCTGATAACTAGAAAGGGAATTTTGACTTTTAGTGCAATGTGTTATGTAACAAATGTAAATAAAAAGTTTGCATTGATTTGCTGCTGGGGTTTATTTGTCTAGTGATAAAACTTTGTTTTTCGTTTTTGGGGGGTCAGTGTGTCTCTGTGTTACCCAAGTTGGTCTTAAACTACTGGGCTCAAGGTACCAGCTACCACAACCTCCCAAGTAGCTGGGAGAATAGGTAAGCATTGCTGTTCCCTGCCTACTGATAAATTCTCACCTACTCCTTCTATAATCCCTCAGAGGAGCATGGTCTCTGATTTGTAGGCATAAACATAAATCACAGTGAAATGTTATTCTAAATTGCTAAAATGCAATTTAGGATTACCAACAACCACAAGGCAATCGCATTAGTACCACAACTATTAAGACTGGGACAATTTCACAATTAGTTCTTACAACAAATTCATATTAGATTTTTGTGCTCTTCTTGGTAATAGCAGAGCTTCAAATAATTAACACAGAAATGAAACAAATACAGCTGGAATTTCTGTGCTTTCTATTACTAATTATAATGCAATCAGTAACAGTTTCATGTTCACTCATTGGGAAAAACATTGTTTATCTTCAGAGAATGACTTTTCCCTTTTGTTTTCATTTTTCTTTTATAACTCCATTTCTTTCTTTTCTTTCCTTTCCCTTAGCCACTTAACAGTTTATCCCAGGTATCATTTGGGCAGCATGTATTTTTTCATACTGAGTAAATGCCCTGCATTGCCAGGGCATAAACAGTAACTTGGAATTACTCTGTAATTAGCAGTACCTGGTCCAGGAAATCCAAATGGGCATCCGTTGCCCAGGTGGGTGAACAGAGCATCTGAACCAATCCCACCCCCAAAATGTCTTTGTTCTTTCCATATTTCCTTGCCATGTGACTCACTTTGCTACTGGATCAATATTAGCTAAGCAGCTGTACTTGCAATCTTATAGGATGATTATAATTCGATGCACGTTGCATCCACATTGTGACACTGATGTATAAATGACCCTTGATCAGAGACCTCAGTGGCAAAGCACTTGGAACCCCTCCTGTCTTTCAGGAACTATCTCTCAATAAACATTTCCTTCTATTAACCTCCACTGTTCCTTGAAATTCCTTCTTTAATTTTGGGGGACAGGAATTCAGAAAATCTGACATCTAGTAGGTTGGGAGTTACATTTCTCCTGTATCAATTATTTTGGCAGAACATGAAGCCATCAGGATGATAAAAAAAAAATTTAAAAATTTCAGATGATATAAAATGTCCCAAGGAGCAAGAATTTCTGATACACATCAGTCCTGAATTGCCTTTGGGAGAATAAATAAAATAAGTACTTTAGAAGGTAGGCTCTCTTTAGTCTACAAAGCCAGACTATTAAAGAACAAGCCATGCAGCAGCACCCAGAATGTGTCAAGTTGTGCAACTCTGAGTCATTCTCACTAAACAACTCAGAAATGTGCATGCATCCAGAGCCCACATGTTCTCAAAGGCTAGTCCTAAACAGCATGGGAAACAGGAGAGACATGAGTATGTTCTAAGATTCTTCACTTGCCCCTCAGCTGTAAGGAAGTAGCCAGTGATTTTCAGAAATGATTGATGTGACAGTCTGTAAGGATTGACACGACAATCTTGCGATGGAAAGCAGTAAGTTACGGGTGACCAAAGGTCCAGCAAATAAAGAATATGCTAAGTAAGGAGGTCTTCCTGGCACAAATGCAGAAAAACCCCTGGGCAACCATGCAACATGCAAAGAAAGGATCCTATCATTCCAGAATATCCAGAAGCTCAAAAATGTAGGTCTGATCACAACACGGAAATACTAGATTTAATTTGCTTTTTTGACTCCAGGAAACAGCAAGTAATTGAAAGAGGAGGAGAAAACGGGAGAGCAACTTTGCTCTACATAATTAGAAGTTATGTGCTTCAAACAACTGCTCAGTATACTCTCAATACTCTCAAAGGCTCCTTACTGCTGTCTCTTTATTCTATGTGCTCCAAAGATACCATAGATACTGCTTCTCATAGTTAGAGATTGAAACACTATGTACAGTAGGTTGTATTGAAGACCAGAGTTGTTCTTCCCAAACTTATTGTTACATTGCTAAATTCATGCTCTCTTTTCTGTTGGAAAGTAAGGCTTTCTAGCAATGCAGAGAGAGAGGGAGAGAGAGAGAGACCAGTGGGTGGCTGCCTCAACATCCTGGTTCATCGACGGGACTGGCAGGAACAGAAAGAACACCTTTAACCTTCACACTGTACTTATGTACATGCTAAATTGAAAGCTGGGTCATGGTACCTCAAGTTACAGCTATAAATTCTAAACAAAACCGTTTGATATTTGATCTGCAGGTCAGCAAATGTCTATAAAGAAATTGAACTTAAATGTGAGAACAATGTCAACACCTCTTCTTTTGCATCAGGTTTAAAACATGCCAATGAATAATTGCAGCACAGTCTCTGTGAAAGTGATCAGGCTGAAATGGATGGCACACCTTTTAGAAATCTTTAAGGTTTTAATTAAGTAGTTTGATGTGAAAATAAATACAATGTTCAGTGAGTCCAGTGAAATATCAGTAAAAAGCTTAGTATTTTTCTGCATAAAATTAAGAGAAATCTCATTAGTTTACAATTGTGATTGTGAACATGTAGAAATCCTACACTAAGTTTGAAGTGTCTAAGTTGTTTCCTTGTTGTTTGTTTGTTTGTTTTGTTTTGTTTGTTTTTGGGTGTGTTGTAATTAAAGGTAAATTGTGTGATGGGTAAATCATAAAAGTTTTGATTTATTTGAACAAGAAATAGATATAGAAATATCATTGCATCTATATATGCACTACATATAAATGTATAAATATAAGATAAAATGCATTAATCCAATATATCTACTCCATATATATAATCATTCAAATTTTAAAATTTACCATAATTATAATACTCTTTAATTTGGGATGTTAATACTTGTCTAAATTCTGGTGACCTTCTAACGCAATTAGATTGGGTGACAGATTTCCTATAAATTTCTGTTTTTAACTCTATTACATTTAGCTATTTATATTGGGGAGAAATTACTAATTTAAATTTTCTCATATAGGCCAATAAATATGAAATATCCCCACAATAGGATTAAAGTCTGTTTTAATATGTAAATACAAAAGGTTAATTACTTTTCAGAAAATCTGATCCTTCATTTCAGGGTAATTGTAGGTTATTATCCTTCTTGCAGTTAATTATATTACCTGTTTATACTAGATTAACAATACCAATGGAAAATGTTAATTAATTCAATATGAGTTTTTGTATTTCTTCTTTTTCAGTTGATTTATCTTTCGTGAATAAGGATGATGACGCCATCTACTTCTTGGGACATTCTCTTGGCCTTCAACCAAAAATGGTTAAAACGTATCTAGAAGAAGAATTAGATAAGTGGGCCAAAATGTAAGTACGGTATTATTTTAAAAGCTGTAATTTAACATGTCATCTATGAATTTTAAAAGTAACACTATGTTGCCAATATTTTGAAACATACATAACTGTGTCCTATGACCTTAAACCAGAAAGAATAGGGACTGTGCCATTCAATACTCTTTTTAATGAAATAATTGAGGATCAGAATAAATGGATAAGGCGAGTTAGTGGTGAAGTAAAAACTTTGAAAGTATTTAAACATTTGAGTCTTTCCCCTATGTGGACACATCTACACCATATAGTCTTTTTTATTTCTTTAATGAATAACACAGTTAATATTTAGATTTTTCATTCTTTCTGATCATTCTTGTTGAATCAATGTTTACTGATTTCTTTTCCATTTTGTATTCATTTTCATACATAAGGAAGCACAGCTCCTTAAGGAGGAAAGAGGGTGGGTGATACAGATGGTATTTCTCTCCACAAGGACCGTGATAGCTTGAGAAAGTACTCCGTTTCAGTTTAGCTGGGTAGACTAGATCTAAAGACAGTGCACTCTTCAGTCAGGACCGTGTGCCCTCCATCTCTTCTTCCCTGTCTCCCTCTTCTGACTGTGAAACTCATCACACTCTCTCTTCCCCTTAACCTTCACCTCGGTCAGACCTTCACAGCTTCACTGATTTTGTCTTTCAAATGTCACAGCTGTCTTCCTTAACATTTCCACGTCCTTAAACATTTTTAAAGTTTTTTATTAACACATAATAATTGTATGTAATTTGGGAGTCTCATATGATTCCAGTACAGGTATATAATATGTACAGCTGGATTTAGAATAACTAATATTTTCATCTTTTTTTATTAGTTTGAGTTTGAGCCTCTGAATGCCTCTCTTAGTTATTCATAAAATATGTAAGAGTTATTATAAGCTATGTATATGTGCTGCCGAAGCGAGCACACCTTTTTTTCTTTTTTTTTCTCCGGTACCGGGAACCGAACTCATGACCTTGCGCTTGCCAGGCAGGCGCTGTGCCGCTGAGCTAAATCCCCAGCCCTATTATAAGCTATGATCTTCCCACTCTTTTCCAGAAAGCTGCAGCTTACTACTTCTGTCTCACTGTGTTTGTGTCCTGGGTACCTAACCTTTCACTATCACCTCTGGGAGAGGCAATTTAGAGGGATCTATTTTCTTTAGCTTCATATTCTTAGCTATATTAGAAATCCCTGAAGAAACATAACCTAATATTATGTATTTCCTACCTTTCCCCAGTAAGTAGGGGTAAAATTGAAACTAGAAATGTTTTAAATATTTAAATTGTTTTATATTTCTATTTTAAACAAGTATAAATTTTTTAAAATATTTTCTGGTCACTAGACAGTGAAAAATCAATATGGAGCTTAATCAAACCTGGAGGTCAGGGAACAAAGTTTCAGAAATGTGACACCAAATTAAAAAAAAAAAATTTCTAGAGGTGAAATATTTGGCTCTCATAGAAACTCACAATAATTTCTCAGCCTTTCTTCATTCTCCATGCTACTGACCTGTCTTTCTGACAATGTCTCTTCATTACAGTTTACACTTACTGTGCTAATGATCACTACCATCACTATTAGATGATGCTGCGGAGTTCTTAATATTCATGGTTAAGGATGAAAGTTCTCAAATGAATGTAAGAGTTGACAGAATTTCATAATTTATCAAGCCTGTTATAACTTTATCTGCATAACTTTTATGCATAAATTGTGAAATACATATCACCACATTGGAAGTATTTTGCACTAGCAGGTTTTAGTATTTAATAAATGAGGGTCATAGTTAATAAAAATGGTTGATATTCATTTTTGACCTTAATGTAAGAGAGAGCAGAGAATTAGATTGAATGAATTTGAACTTTAGAGAGTGTCCTTGCCTCTTGGATATTCATTCAGCAAGGCTGTGCATTTTTATTCTTCAGACACTTAAGATGCTGCCCTGATATTCTATTCATATCCTTGTGATTATTTTATGTTAGTAAGGGAATGGTTGATTATTTTCAAGATATTGACATATCTCAAGAAAGTGCTTGTCTGTCATATCACCTACTGTGCATTTTTATATTCTAAGTTGTGAAAATTGACAATACTGTAGTCTTAATTAAGTCTTCCTATCTAGTTCTTATTAAACAAATGCTACAGAAAGAAGGTATATTTTCATGCTTCAGACATTGTAAACTATTACAGGTTTTTTCTAAACGTCACTATCAGAGTTCATTCAGCCTCCTTCTAAATATCAATGTTGTTTGAAGTGCATGATTTTTGTTTTATTTTCTCTTGCCTCACCTCCACCTTTGATCCAAAAAGTCTGTGTTTGTTATGATTTTTTACTCCAAAATATTTAGCATAAAGCCCCACTCCCGGTCCTTCCATGTAAAGATCTGTTTGGAGGAATGCTTTCCTTCCACCAATTTAGAACTTATAAGAGCCTAAAAATTAACCAACAACACACACTGACAGCAGGAAAGTTCATTTCACAGGCAGGCAGAAGAACTCTACAAGGAATGACTTAGCAAGTTCCCAGGACAAGATTTATACACCAGTTTAAGGAAGTAATTTTAGGGTTTCCCATGGGAAAATATGCAAGGTTCTACTGGGCTCCTTCATATCGATACTTATGTTAATGGGCAGTGTTCTGCCCGGCTGGTGGCCCCCTGAGAACGAGATTAACGGCAGATGAATTCGTATCTCCATGTGCTTAGACTAATGCTCCCTCTGAGAATAGGTCACCAGCAGCTGCAGTTTTAGGGGTCTCTGTTCAAGTTTAAATTATGTTTCTTTCTGTGGCTGCTTTTTTGCCCAGATGTTTTCAATTTAAAAATTCTTCACGGCACTTTAGTGAACTGTTGTCTTTTTCAGTTCTTTTTCTGACTTTAGCTTATGTACGAAATTGCCCTAAATTCAGTGTGTTCTAAATCCAGGGACCTCTGGTAAGTTGTGATTAATCACCAATTCTTCCCTTTTTTTATTTTAAAGAGCATAGCAAATGAGAAACAAACAAGGAAAGAAGTAGAACAGTAGCAGTATACCAGTATCACAAACATAAACAAATCAAAGCAAGAACATTCAAAGTGATACAAGGCCTCAAGACAAACTAATACAAATCAACAGTGATTGTTACATTACATATTACTACCCTCAACTACATTGCTCAGATTACCCAATGTAAGAATGAAAGATTGCCCAAACTATTAAAGAGAATAAGAAAATAATTATTTGATAAAACAGTAGAGATAATACAGAGTTTGACTAGACAAGATGATAGGTGTTCACCATTATAATTCCATTCCGTACTATTACCTTCAAGTCAGTTGCTCAGACCACCACACACAAGCATGCAAAGTTGATCAGAACATAAAAACTTGTAATCACTAACTGTTCATTTCAATACATCAGTAGACATCAGCAATACAGTTATCATAGCTATTCATATATACATATATTTATATTTATAATTATATTTATATTTATATTTTGGTTCCTTCATTCTTCTTTCCTTCATCCCAGTTGTTCCTTCCTTTGAGCAATTTCTTTCCCTTTCTTATCATCTATTGTATGTTTTGAGTTTTACCTAGTTTTTCAGGTTCGTTCACCAAGGAGATAATATGATGTTTACATATGTGGGTCCAATTGATGTCACTTATGAATATGGTCTCTATTTGCATCTGTGTACCTAAAAAAGCCTTGAGAATATCTTTTTCAATAGAGGAGTAATACACCATTGTATAAAAATACCACATCATTTTTATCCATTCCTCAGTGAATGGGCATCTGGGTTGTTTCCAAGATTTAGCTATAACAAATTGTGCTGCTATAAACATGGATGCAAATATATTGCTGAAATGCAAATTAAAACAACACTGAGATTTCACCTCACCCCAGAAAGAATGGCTATCATCAAGAAATCAACAAATAACAAATGCGGGAGAGGCTGTGGGGAGAAAGGAACACTTCTCCACTGCTGGTAGAAGTGTAGATTGGTGAAACCACTGTGGAAATCAATTTGGAGGTTCCTCACAAAACTAGGGTTGGAAGTCTCATTTAACGCAGCTATTCCCCTTCTGGGTATTTTCCCAGAAGAATTAAAGACATCATATCAATTCTTCTTGACATCCCTCAACTCTACTTCTGTCCTACTCTGGCTGGTATTGAAGTCAAGTCAAGACTTCCCTCTCCGTGTCAACCTAGACTTAAATATCTACTAAGTTATCTAATGCATGTTGAACTTAATTGTTGCATTGGACAACAAAGTAAAAATGTATAACCCTAACAATAACATTAAAAGTTAGTGTGCTCTGACAAAATAAGATATCACACTAAGGGATTTCAAGACTGGTCATCCAGTGCCTAAAAATAAGAAATGCTATTTGGTCACAGTTGTCATTTTCTTCATGTTTCGTGCCTATTGTGCTTATCATACTTATCCATAGTTTGTTTCTGGTTGTGAGGCAGCTTGTCAGTGTAATTCATATGGCTATCATCCTGATTACTTGCATTAAAGGAAAATCAAAGATAGAAATACATTAAGAATGCATCTATGAATTTATGTATGTAATGTGCTGAGGTTTAAAAATTTAAAAATATTTTAGGAGCTGTATTAGTCTGTTGCTTCTGCTCTAACAAAATACCTGAGACTGAATGACTCATGAGTCAGAAATTTATTTTGTCACAATTCAGCAAGACCAAGGTGCCAGCAGATTCATTTGATCTCTGGCAAATGTAGTTTTCTGCTTCTAAGTTGGAATTTCTTGCTATGTTTTGACATAGCTTCGGTGCAAATCCTTTCATCCCAACCTCCTTTTTTTTTTTTTTTTTTCCAAACCCAGGACCTTTGCACTGAGCTACATCCCCAGCCCTTTTTAAAATTTTGAAACAAGTTCTCACTAAATTTTTTTCCGTTTTTCTCCTGTACTGGGAATCGAACTCAAGAACTTGGGCTTGCCAGGCAGGCGCTGTGCCTCTGAGCTATATCTCCAGCCGGGATCCCACCTCTTTTATAAGGATGTTATTCCTCCCCTGAGAGAAGAGGCCTTGAGTCACTGTTCAAAGATCTCACTCCTTAATAGTCTCACACAGCTGATTAAGTTTCAACTTGGGAATTTCAGAGACACATTCAGATAATTGCAGGATACAAATGATTTCTTCCAAAATTCCAATTGCTTGAGGACAAACTGAAAGTTCAGTCTCCTTAGGAACACTTACCTCCGCACTGCTTTTACAATGCTGATTATTATTCTTCAACTTCACTTTAAAGTATGAGATTTCTAAAGCTGATTTAATACTTGGCTGTGAACAATATGTTTGTTTTGTGAAATAAAAATATTTAGATAATTTTGCTGTTCTGAAATGGAAAACATTGAAAGTCAGTGTACCTCTTTGAAACTTTTTTTTTTTCCCGGTACCAGGAATTGAACTCATGACCTGGCGCTTGCCAGGCAGGCACTGTGCCGCTGAGCTAAACCCCTAGCCCCTCCTCTTTGAAACTTGTAATAATTATTAGCACAAAGGTACTGTAATAACAAGGAGCAACAATATACTCCAACACTGTGGGTTTGCTAAAATCAGTATGTTATAAGCTCGAAGAATTTGCAAAGAATATTTTATGTTAAGCATTTATTAATGGCCTGAATTACTTAAAAAAGAATAACATGGGTTGATAATTGCAATGGTCAGTCCTAAAAGGGACATTATATCTTGAAAAATAGATATTGTGACCCTAAAATGAAATGGCAGCATTTTAAGTCACCTGCGTTGTTAAATCTGCTAGATAAATGATATCCTCTTTTTTTCCAAAGGAGTAAATACTTGCTACTGCTGTGTCTCCATAGGAATTCTTGTAAGAAGAATGATAGTTTAGGTGGGATTATTCAAAGAGGAAAATAGTCCACTGAATTCCATACCATGTGTAGATGAACTGCTGAACAATGACTTACCTTTCATGGCAATGTGTGTATGGCTTTAACACCAGGGAAGCATGTCAGAGTATTTTCCTCAATACCCTGGCAGCAATCTTATTTAACATGAGCATTTCTTTCAAAAAAAAATAAAAGTACATCAAAAGAAAGGATAAGAAAATACATGGTATGACATGTTACAAAGGCTTGCCAACACCATTCTTGGGTAATGATAAATTGGTAATGAAAAGAAATTGTGATATTAAGTAAAGTGTGAAAATTTATTTATTTGCTTATGAGTGGAAAGTTTTCTAAAGGGAGGGCAATTTTTCAGGTTGGGAGATGGTTAAATCATGGCCTTATTGTAAAGAGCATCCAAGTTTCTATTAACTTCCTAATTAGGTTTTATATCCTGCAATCTATTTTCATGACCAAATACTGCTCATACACACTTTAGAGAGCACCCCACTCACGGCAATGATTTATGCTGTGGGAATGAATTAACTCTCTCATGCTCTCCTTTCCTCTGCAGCATTTGTAAAAAGATTTTAGCTATGCAACAACTCTTTTAAGCAGTTTTGAATGGAAGCAATATAACATTTTCCTTAAGTCTAATACATATGTTTATAACATCACTTTAATCAAAATCATCTCTTTCGAATGACAGGCCACTTTACTGCAAGTTTATTCAGATAACACTTTCTAAGTGCATCTCACTACCCCAGGCTCACAGGCTAACAAAATGAGGAAGCAGACTTGATTTGTGATATTTTTTAAAGGGAGGGAGATGCCAGAAGCTGTGCAGGGAAAAAATGTATCTTTACAGATTATTACCACGTGCCTACCAAATAAAGAGTAGGTGGCATAATATTCTGAGATATAAATTCTCTGAGGCAGAATGTAGAATTTTACTACCTCAGTGTCATAAGATATATTGTATTATCAGCAAAGGCCATGGAGCTCTATGTGATTAAAATTAAAAAGGATCTGCCTTTAACTACCATTTAATGGTAATGATTTTTGTCTTTAGCATTTATATTGGAAGACAAGGAAGAGGAAAACTGCAGGCTATTTCATAATAATACGAATAATAGTAACTAACAATTGCCTTACCCTTCCTTCTTAGCAGTCCGTGTCTATTCTTCATATCCAAGTTATTATGAATGTCTTTCTTCATCTTAGTTTATCTAGTAATGGAAATATTAGTTTAAAAATTGTGTCATGTCCCTCATGCTGATGAAGAGAATTTTAGTACTAAATTTCCAAAAGGAAAGAAGACTCAGCAAAGAGATATGTACCCATCCCTTTTACGTGCTATCACATTTATTTTTATGGTGACTCCTTAAGGTAAATATTTGCACTCATTTGCTTTTACTAATGTGGAGAGTTAGGTTCTATCAGCATCTAATGAATGTGACCTTACAGCAGTAGAGACCAGCAGCTGTCTCATACAAAGTGGTGAAAGCCAATTGCTCAGCATTCAGAATGTTGTTGGTAGCATGAAATCCGATGGTGGGAGAATTTTTATCATGGACATCAGTGAAAGCTGATGAACAGGTCTCCAATAGACTCCAATCTCCCATCCCGTTTTGAAGCAGGAATGCCAGCCCATCACTGCTGGCTTACTGAATTTCAATGCGTTTAAACAGAGGCTTGCGTGAGAAAATGAGTGTGCACATTGCTTTCTTCCAAATCTACAAAGCTTTTGATTAAGGACAGTCTAATCCGGAAATTTGTAAGATACAAGTACGTAACAGCACATAAAGTGCTTGCACTTCTCTTTTTTATTTGTCTCAGTTTCTTCTATGTTTTTCAAGTGCCCTTTTCTATCTCACTTAATGGAAACTTCTTGAGACTTAAAGCAATGTTATACCTTTTGTGTCTATCCATATGTCCACTAGAATATGTGCTAGCATAATAAATATAATGGAGTATGAGAAGTGAGTTGCTAGCAAATAAGTCAAAGTGTCATGCTAATTTTAACGACAACTGAGCTTATTATTTCCCTTAAAATGTCATTATGAGTAAAGTCATGTTTTATATACTTCTATTTGATCTAGAGAATATAGCAATATTTTAAAATTCAATTTATAAACATTTTACTCTCTACCCTAAAAATGTAGCACATACCTTTTTGTATAGATACAAAGTATCAAAGTATGCTACATTAGAGAATGTCCCAAACACAGCAGATATTGTTAATTTCCTGTCACCTTGTCTGTAATTCAGTATTGCTTGTACCATTCTTGTGCTACTTTATAAATGGTTGTCTGTTTAATATGGTTTCTTTTTTGTTTGTTTGTTTTTCTCCGGTAATGGGAACCAAACTCATGACCTTGTGCTTGCCAGGCAGGCGCTTTTGCCACTGAGCTAAATCCCCAGCCCCTAATATGGTTTCGTTCTTTTACTTTTAAAATTAAAAAAGTATGCTACAAGTGTAAAAGTGTCAGTCTTCAAATTTTCAAAATAGAAGACAGCAGGCCTGGCAGTGTGCACCTGTAATACCAGCATGCAGGAGGCTGAGGCAGGAGGATTGTAGCGAGTTTGAGACCAGCCTGAGCTACAAAGTGAGCTCAAGGCCAACTTGAACTGCATAGTGAGACCCTGTCTCAAAAAGACAGAGAAAAGATAAAATAAAAGACTAAGTAATAAAAAGAATAACATCATAGACTTTAAAATGTAGCAAAATAGTTTGAGCCATTTCATCCATCCTCCAACAAAAAAAAAGAGATAAAGGGTCAAGTTAAAAAATGGACTGTCAAAGAATTACTTTTTGTTATTGGAAGAAAAATTTTTACATAATTGTTTAAATATTAAAAGGACCACATAGAAATGGCTACTTGCTAAATCTGGTATTTGAAAACACATACTCACACATAGTCACACAGAAACACACACACACAGAGCTAAGGAATGTTTCCTTTCTTCAATTTCAGGGGAGCCTATGGTCACGATGTAGGAAAACGTCCTTGGATTGTAGGAGATGAGAGTATTGTAGGACTTATGAAGGACCTCGTAGGTAAGTAAAAATGTTCTGACTGTTTTCCCAATAGAATTATAAAGACTGTTTTATCAACAAGCATAGAAAGGGCAAAGTCTTATTATGTAATATCCCGATTTTCTATTTCAACTCATACTTTTAACTTAGATTTATCCATTTAAATGTTGGCATAATGGACTTAGTTACTTTTCTCATTGCTGGGGAAAAACCTGACACCCACAGGTTAAAGCAGGAAAGATCTAATATCGTCCATAGTCAGCTGGCTCCCAGGCTGAGACATGACAGTGGAGAAACAGTCCAAGGCAGAGTAGGAATGAAACAACAAAACAGAAAGCAGGGAGACTTCCTTTCCCTGGTACCTTGAGCAGACTAAAAAGTTACTGATCGGTGCCACTCACACCCAGAGTGGGACTGCCATTACCCACACCCAGAGCTATTCTCAACCACTTTACTTATCACACACCCTCAGTCCACATTACACTCTATAGATCCAGCCACCTACAAGGAGCCCCATCTGTGAACATACGAGGCTTTGGGGGGACATCTACATAGAAGCCACAGCATAGACATAACCAGGTCATTTGGTATAAAAATAGAATATATCTACTATTTTTTATTGAACAATTTTAAAATATTTCCCCACCTGTGAGAAGCATGTGCATTTTATTAATTTATAATTAAACACATTTCACTAAATAAAGTTAAATGAATTTTCTATAATATCACTACAAGATAAACACTAATGTAAAAGTGTTAAACCCTGTTTCAGTTATTTTAGTCACTGGGACGAAATACTTGACACTCACAACTTAAAGAGAAGAGGTTCTTTTTTGGTTCATGGTTTCTATAGGACTCAGTTCATAGGTGATGGACCAGAAGATAAGCAGGACACAATGGAAGGATCTGACAGAGGAGAACTGCTCACACTATGGTGGCCATGATCAGAAAAAGAAAGGAGAAGCTGAGGAGGGAGATGTACCCTTCTAGGTCACATTCCCAGTTACCAGTCCCAACCTGCAAATAGCATATTTTGGTATGGATTTATGCAGTGATGAATCCACTGATGGGTGTAGTAGTGTCTCTGTGATCCAACAAGATTCCAAGTGCCCCACCTCTGAACACATGAGGCTTCTGGAGCCCGTTCTAGATCCAAACCATGACGTTCAGCCCCAGGATCCCAAAAGACTCTTGCCAATCTCTTTACCTAAGATGCATTTAGTCCACATCTAAGAGTCACCAAAGTTTTAGGAGCTTGCAGAGTTGTTGAAAAATACAAGTCTGAAGTGTTTCTGAGACTCTTGGCAAACTGTTAGGGCTGATCCTATGTAAAAATAGAAAATAAAGTTAATCACTGCTGACTTACAGTGATACAGGGTGAACATTCTGAATTCCAAAAGGAAGAAAATAATAGGTGGATGGAAAGGAATAAAATCAAAGAATGAAACCCAAAAAGGTAACCATTAAATCCTATATCTCCATGTCCATCACCCAAAACAAACTATGATGAGATGGAACCCTTAAGGGCCTGAGCAGCACTGCAGCTATGGCCTTCCTGGTTCCAGTCCTCTTAGCCTTTTATGTAGGCTACTTCTGCTTGCTGCCTATGACTTACCTCAGCAGATGTTCCACATTTCTGGCATCTCTCAATTCATGGAGTCTCCCCTGAACATTTGGCTTCATTTTTACAGCTTCACATAGTGTCTTCTCAAGGGCACACTGACCAGCCTCCCAAGATTTCTTCTGAAATGTGAGTGGAGGCCTCCAAAATCACACAACTCTTAAATAATCCTGTATGCCCATAAAATCACCACCATGTGGATCAGACCATGGTCTGCTACCAGTTCAAACAGTAGTCAAACCCCTTTGGTCCATGACTGCAGAGGCCTCTGAGTGCTTGGCTAGCTAAGCACTGTAAAATGAATCCAGAAGATCCAATTCCATCAGAGATCCTTCTGGAGCAGAGTGCCCTGGGGCACTCTTCTCAAAAGTAGTTTACCTTATCCACTTCATACCAATGAGCCAGTGAAGAGTGTGTTTTGCTGATTCCTGAGATGTTCTCAAGGCATCTCTCCTGTTGTACTGATGCAAAATTTAATGCTAATCTTTTTACCAACCTTTCTTCATGACTCCAACTTTGAAGGTATTCCATTTCTGTTGAAATTGCAAACTATTCAAATTAGTTCTGTTCTTTGAGTCTGATTTTCTCTATAAATCTCATTTGGAAATACCAGCAGTACTGATACCACAGTCCAAACATTAGATAGCCTTCAAATTCCCTCCATCAGATTTGTCTACTGCTGTTAGTTTTAATCTTTGCAAAATCTCAAGGCATAGGCAAAATTTAGAGAAATATTTGCCAAAGCATAACATATGTGGCTTTGAGTCGCACTGTCAATGGTATATTTGTTCTGGACTGAAGTTCCCTCAGATTTTCCTCAGATTTTACTGAATGCATTTCTACCAACATTCTAGTCTTCTGCACTCTTACCAGAATTTCCCATCAAGGTGGGCTGATAATGTTCTATGGCTTTCCTAGGGCATCTCCAAACCTTTCCTAAATTTTCCCACAAACTGGTTCCAAAGGCTTCCCAACCACATGGTCAGGTATAGTCATGGTAAAAACTCCATTTCCCTGGTACCAAAATATTTTTTCATTTAATTTGGTTTCATTCTTTTACTTCTCATCATTGGGACAAAAAAGAAAAAAGAAAACATGATACAGTTTAAAGTAAGTGAGGTCTATTTTGGCTCATTCTTGTGAAGAGTATTCAGTTCACAGTTTGCTGGATCCTAGGCAGAAAGAGTAGGATAAAAAGTCTGACAGAGGGAAGGTGCTCATGTCATGCTGTCCAGGAAGCAGAGAGAGAGAAAAAAGGAGGATCTGCAGAGGAAGATACACCTTACAAGCTCACACTTCCAATGGCCTGATTCTTCTGACCAGGCTCCATTTCCTAACAGCACAATTAGCTATGGATTCATCCACTGAAGATTACAATGTCCTATGATCAGACCACTTGTCTAAAGTCCTATCTCTGAATACATGTGGATTTTGGAGAACATTCTAGATCTAAGGCTTTGCAAGCACTAATCATATTTTCATTCATTTGAGTTTAATCTTTATTGATATTTTTTATTGACATATTTAAACATAGTTGAGTGGTATTAAAATAACATAACTGTTAAACATAAAAATAACATAACTTCTTGGGACCTATAACATACTTTTAAACTGAGTTAAATATACTATTATATAAAAATATGTTAAAATATTTTTAGAAGATAAATTAGGATGATAAAAAATTGCAGCATTTTGGAAAAAGTTGCTTTTTTCACTGGTAAGTAGTCACCATTGCCTGCAATCTTTTTTTGTTTCTTTTTCCTCCCTCTTTGACTCTTCTTTTCTTTTCCTTTTTTGTAGGACTAAGGATTGAAACCTTTTAAAATTTCTTGTTTTGGGACTGGTTTTCACTAAGTCACTAAGTTGCTCAAGCTGAGTTCAGTTTACAGAGATCTAGGGTTAAAGGCATGAACTACCATACTAGAAATTTTTGAAATATTATTCAAGAATGGTTTGAAATATTATGTGAGATTTAGAACACTAATTTAAAAAATTCATGATGCTTTAGCAATTGGATAAGTATCCTTTGCAAATATTTTGAGGAAACTCCAACTTTTAAAATGCTTTTGCTTACCTCACTCCTGAGCAAGTATGTTTTTACTGTTTTATCATATTTGCATTCTGACCTGTAATTAGAGGACCAAATCTACTTGGAGGAAAAATGAAGTAGAGAGGGAAAAGTAGAATTCTCATGCAGAAAGAATGTTGGTAATACATCAAAATCTCGGAAATATCTTTTTCATTGAAAATACAATTTTTGTGCCTCTGCATAGTGCAAGGACTTATGACAGACACTGAGGATGAAGTGGTAGAAAAGAAAACTTGGTATCCTTTTCTGCACAAGATTCCCAATAAAAAGGACACAAGAAAACATAACATTAGTAGACAAGTACATAACATTAATAGACAAGTACAATCAAGAAAAATGTTTTAAAAATATAATCATCATTATCCATGCTGCAAGAAACATATCTTCCAGTGAATGAAGGACAGAACTTTAATTTAATTTAAAAACATGCATTTATTTACTCTGGTTTTCTGTAATTCCCTCTTAAAGGAATTTAAAAAATATGGTCCATCAGGGAACAAAATAGAAAGCCAGAGAAGTAATACCCATGATATTTTGTGAATTGAATAGCAGGCCAACAAACAGTAATTGCTGTTGCTAAAAATATAAATAAAAAGTAAATCAAGTCATAGTTACTCAATAGTGACAGATAAAAAGTTATTTGCCTTTCCTTGATTATCCTTTAAACCTTAGGAATTACTCAAATACCTCTAGAAGTGAGGACAAAGATAAAAATAAAATCAGGGAGCTTTGTGGAAAGTCTGTTTAAAATGTAGGTAAAATGCTAGATCCTCTTTTAGTACTGTGCTGCCTGGTAAATTCTCCTACAACAGGCTTCTGGGTGAGAATAGAGGGTATTAGCAGCAGAAGGGGTGAAAATGTCCAGAGTGAGGATGAGAATATTTATGCTACATTTGTCAGCTCAGGATAACGTAATGATAAAACATAGACTGCGTGACTTAAATCAGAAATACCTATTTTTCTCACAGCGGTAGAGGCTAGACATCTGTGGCCCAGAGTCTGTCCAATCAGTTTCTGGAGAAGGCTACCTTCCTAGGTTGTACATAGCCATCTTCTCACTATGTTCTCATATGGTTTTTCTTCTGCACATGGAAGGGGAAAAAGAGATCTCTGATTTCCCTTCCTCATCTTAGATGAAAACAACACATATCAGATTAAGAGCTCACTGTTACAGACTTATTTAACCATAATTATCAATATACAGGAACTATCTCCAGATATACTGACTTGGGAACTAGGACATTAGTATATGAATTTGGAAAGCCATGACTTAGCCCATAACATATTGCTATGCCTACCACAGCTCTTGAA